CTTTCATTTAATTTTGGATCCCATTTTTGAACTAATTTTAATCGTTAGTACTAAAATTTTTCAATATATAAATAAATGTAAACATATAAAAATTTTTTACTTTGATAATTCTTCATGCATTCTCGACAAATATTAATAATACCTTGGTTGCTTGGAATCTTAACCTGAGATTCATTTTTAAACCAGTCGACAAATTCATAATCATATTAACTTTTTTAATAGCGATACCTGTTCGTGTAATATATTTGTTATAAACGTTTTATATCCGGTCCCTTTGCTAAGGTTTATTGGTTGACACAGCAGTCTTTTCCATAAATTTTCGTGCAAATTAAACACACCAAGCATGTTGGACAAGCGTTGGAACGAAAATTTAATAACATCGACATTATTAATTTTAATTTGAGGATATATCTTTTTTGCACCGGGCAATATTATAAATTATAAGGTACCATCTATTTGAAGTTGCAACTTTAGATATACAGTCAACATTCTCTAAACCGAACAAGCCGTTCGAGCAAATTTTGGTCGGCATAGAGTGAATCCGGAATACACATTTACTCTGAACGTTCGGCATATAAAATTAGCCAATCATATGCTAGACACGTGATATTGGTGGTTTGTCAGTGGATTTTGCGATATAAATTAACAAATTATGTTTTCGATATCAATAAATTATTTGATTTACTGCCGATTAACAATAAAAGTCAGAATTTGTATAAAATTTAAAAATCTATCTAATAAAAACTTTTCGATTTTGAAAAAAAAAGTTGCACTAAAAAAAAATTTTGGTTTTTATGCGTAAATATATAGCCCATGATATTTTTATTTCTTTAAACTATTGAAATATAAAATATTTTATTATATTTGCTAATAATTTCATCGTGTACGCTTGAAAAGTGCATTTTCTATAATCGAAGCAAATCGCAGTAAAACCACATAATTTGTGATTTGCTTCGATCACAGCAAATCACAAAATCCACAGGTCCCTGTTTGTCAACTAAGTAAATCAAAACTATATGTGGTATACGTATAATAAAATTTATTAACGAAAATTTTTAGATAAGTAATAATTTTATAATAATTTTATAATAATTATTGCAAATTTTAAATGGATGCACAGCCCTAACGGCTCGATAGTTTCGAATAAAATTTTGCAAAAACCTGCGTTATGTCTTTACAAACAAAGTTAAAGAAAATGTACGTACTGCCTGTATCATGTTCGGATCCGGTTTATCGAATTTTATTATTATTGTTCGGTATAATCAGTGTAGTTATTTATAAACTAAATGTTCTTACCTTCTTTCCTTCTTTGTTCGAGATATCCAGGGTTCGGTACATATAGGTTCGGTTTAGACTGTATAAAGTTGACCTGACTAAAATTAAGCCCCTGAAATTAGATCTTCATACATATAATTCTGGTTAGATGCAACTTTATATATAGGTAGTAACTTTAGATAAATAAGTTCGCTCAGATCCGGATCCGGGTAATCTATAGTTTGGCCAGCACGTATATATAAATTATAAACCAGTGTTGTTAATCATTGGTAATCGTCACATCTTTTATTATGTTATTTATCACATTGAACAATAAACAATATTAAAAGGATGTGACAATTAAAGCCGTTAACAACACTGCGTATAATTGTATAGGTTGAAACTTTAGATATAAAGTTGCATCTAACCAGAATTATATGTATGAAGATCTAATTTCAGGGGCTTAATTTTAGTCAGGTCAACTTTATATATCTAGTTGCAACTTCAAATCTTCAAATAGATATACTGAATTCAAAAAAAGGATTTTGATCGGAAATGATCTGCAGTCCAGGCATAAGGAATCATTAACATATTCGTAATTATTAACATTCATAATTATATAATATATAATTTTTGAAACAACATAAGCAATTCAAAAAGGATGTTATGTCATTCAAAATTCACCGAAATTTCAGTTTACTATAAAAAGTATTCAATTTTATTTTGATGAAATGAATTTTTTCAGAAAAATCTAATGGCTACGGAAAATAATCAATCACATGATAGCAATCCGATTGAGAATGAAAAAGATGAAGAATTGATTCAAATTCGTGAAATTGAAACTGAAAATACTTCAAATGATCCAACTAATTGGCCGATAACGAAAAAACAATTCATAGTATTCATTATCTCAGTGGCAGCAATAATCGACTCTATTTCTAGCACGTGAGCATCAACTTGAAGTTCTTTGAATCAGTAAACTTGAAATTAAATTTTAATTGTTCTGTTTAGAATTTTTTTTCCCGCACTTATCGAAATTAGCGTTGATTTGAATACTTCTCAAGTTCTCGCCAATGCTATAAGTAAGTAACCCAGTTTGTTCATGTGATTTAATGATATTATTTTTTAAAAAATCTGATTGTCTGCATTAATTATCCAGTCTCGACTTTCATTTTATTAATGGGCATTATTGTATGCTTTATTTATTTATTTTTTGATACACTAAAAACATTCTTAATGCTTGTATCACGTAAACATTTCCAACGTATATTTGTTTATTATTCGCAGCCACTTGGTTGGGCTTCATATTCTGATACCCGCGAAACAAGACGAAGGGTCTATTTAATATCCCTTATAATATATGTAGTTGCAAGCATAGTATGTGCTATATCGAATAATATTTGGCAATTATTAGTTATGCGTTCGTTTCAGGCTCTTGGTGGATCTGCAGTCCTAAGTGTTGGTGCAGGAACTATAAGTGATATATTCATTCCTACAGGTAAATTATGCGTCATCATTATTTTATTAGTATATAGCAGAGTATTAATCATTTGTAAGTCATGTTCAGAACGTGGACGTGCTTTTGGATGGTTCTACTTGGGACCTTTAATAGGTCCTCTTATTGGCCCAGTCATAGGCGGCTATATAACTCAATACCTTGGATGGAAATTTATTTTTTGGTTTCTAACAATATATGGAGGAGTCATTTTAGTCCTCATGTACTTTGCACTTCCTGAAACTTTTCATCGCACCCATTTGTCACTTACCACAACATCACCTCCTAAAAAACGGTTTAATCCATTCTTACCGCTTACTTTACTTCGTTATCCAAATTTATCTTTAGTAGTACTTTACGTAAGTATAGTTTTTTCAGTGATGTTTGCCCAAAATACCCTTATTCCAACAACTTTTTCAGCAAAGTATAATATGTCTCCATCAAATATCGGACTTGTATTTCTTTCTCCTGGTATTGGATTCATTTTGGGAAGTATAATATCTGGAAGTTATTCTGATTTCATATTGAATAGAAGTAGAAAAAAATACGGTAGTATTGATCCGGAAATAAGAATTAAAGGTGGTTGGCTTGGATCAACGTTAGTCCCAATTACACTTTTAGCTTATGGATGGTTTATTGTGAAGAATGTTCATATTGCTTTACCTATATTATCTATGTTTTTTTGTATGTCATTCTCATATTATTTCTACTCTTTTTTTGTATATCTTAATTCTAAAAAAAGTTTGTTTTTTTTGTCTAATTATAGTCGGATTTGGTTTAATGATAACATTTAGTAGTGTGTCAACATATTTAGTCGACGCTTTTCCTGGTCGAAGCGCTTCAGCTATAGCAGTGAACAATTGTTTCAGATTTATATCAGCCTCAATAATGTCTTTCGCTTCGGAACCATTTGAAAATGCTTTAGGCACCGGTTTATTGTATACTCTTTTGACAGTGTTTATTATATTGGGCACTTCCTGCATGGTTACTGTATATTTAAAAGGAAAAAAGTGGAGAGAACGGTTTCAAAATTAAATATTTATACTATTTAAACAATAATTTACATGGATTTTTTTGATAAAAAATAAAGATCATTGTAAAAATTAATACTGTAATATTTAATATAATTACAGGAGTTTTATAATAATTGTAAAGTTATTAATAAAAAATTATTCATAAAATTATTATGATATATCATTGAGTCAGATGAGTAATTCGGCCGATCCAACGTATTTCTTAAAGGACGCGTCAACTAGACTTCTTAATTTGGCGCGTTAGTGTTCTTAAAAAAGTATTGGGGTATTGGGGATCAAAGCGATTATATCCTTATGCGTCCACACAATGTCAAAAATCGCTCATTTTCAAAAATATGCATAAAAAACCACCTTTAGTGCTCTACCAAAAATTTCTTGAGCGATTTTATTATATACAGTAACTACCTAATCTCTAACCTTGTTATAAACGCTAACCCTAACATCGATGAACTTTGTCTGCGCCACAGAATATTACGGTCCGTCCGGTCCGATCTTGGTCCTAAACGGTCCTAGCAGAGGACCATTAGTTGGTATTTGGCTTTTTAATGATTGCTACATATATGAAAATGACAATGTTGGCATCTATCGTTATTCGAAAAGTATATATATATGGAACTTTAATAATTGATATATTATCGCATTCATATTCACCGATTTGATTAGTACGAAACTTACTTGATGTCATGACACCCAATCTTTGGTTTAGTCATGAATTCTACCATGATTTACCGTAAAAATTGTTATCGACATACAATATATGGTTAAGATTTATACTATATTGTAATTAACAATTGTTAATGAATTTGAATTGTGATGACATTCTTGATCACGACTTGCTCATTGATATATTCATCGGTAAATTTTTTTTAGTGCAGTTCTTTACAGATTTGCAAAAAAATTAAATAATAAACTAAATGAAAATCTGTGCAAACTTCAAATCTGGTAGCTATAACTGCAGAAATTAAATGCTATTTCTGTATAAAACTTCAAATTTTATAAAATTTTGCAGATTTTTTGTAAAAAATCTGCAAAAATACAGATTTTTGCAAATTTACACTTATTTAATTTTCCCGATGTTAGTCTTAACGTTTTTTAACACGTTTGTTACACGAACTTTTGCCATTAAATGACGTGAAAAATAACAAACGAAACATTCAATAAAAAGTTTTTAGCCTCTATATGAGATAAATAAGCAAAAAATACTAAAAAAACAGCTACGCCAAGCCGTAAAAGAAAGCACTATCATTAGCTGTTGAAAAGTTCGGTTATTTTCGAGTAGTGAATGATCGGCTGTATGATGGGTAAGGGTGAATTCGGAAGCAAGTTTTGATAATTAAACATGTAGATATTGCAATATTCTACACACTTAATTATGGATTCAAAGTAAGTTTAAAAGACCATTTTGTAAAAACTTACTTTGTAATAAATTTTAACAAGCAATTCTCAATCATGATTGACTAAATTTGGGGTCAAACCAAATCAGTCAATATGTTTATGTTTGGTAAAATTTTATCCATTTTGACACTTAAATTTTTGTCTTTTTATTTCTATATATCAAAAAATTACTAATATTTCGGTGACACTTATTTCAGATTTTGACTTATAGCTATTATCATAAATTCTGGGACAACTGAAAAAAATTGCCAATGACCGAATCGACAAGTTACCGAATCAAAATCAATAAGTTACTGAATTAGACGGACATCAGAAACTTATTGATTCTGTCATCAGCAATTTTTTTTTTTTAGCCAGACCAGTCCTCAATTTACGGACCGAGAACTGCTTGAACTGGTCCAAAGGACCGATCAGAATCACGGTCTTTGAATACCTACAGTATGTACGTACGTATGTATAGTGCAGGAAATTTGACAACCTCAATATTTCTATGCAAAGATGATGCATAAAGCAGATTGAAAATAAATTTCCTAAATTATCGATCTCAATAAGCGAAGGGTTTAGAGCTCTAAATCTCTTTGTATAAAAACAATAAACAAAGAACAATATGTAAATAATAGCATGCTGCTGAAAATGACAAATTTAGTTATCTCCGATGAGCTAACTATAAAGTCATTTAAGCTTTTAGATTTACTGCACCGTACGTGCTACGCGTCCATGGCCCTATGATAAATACATATAGTAAGTTACATATTAGGGATATAAAATAAGGAATAGATATGCATTATAATACCTAATACAGAAATAAAAATAAAGAAACTAGAGTGGGACGAGTTTACTAGGTTGAGTCCGTTATGGAAAGCGGAGGCAAATCATGTGATCATCGTCCAATCAAATTATAGAATTTTGATGAAGCAAAGCAAGAAATAAAAAACCTGAAAATTACAAAAAACGGTAGTCTAAACCTATCTCGGGTAGGCTAATCGGGAAGGCACCAATATCCTAACCTAACCCTAATATAGGATGCCCCTAACCCTAAAATTAATAGAAAAAATTATTAAATATGAGTTGCCTCCGCTTTAGATGTCTCCCAAATTTAGGCCTCCCGGCCCGAAATCCCGATCGGCTAGATTTCCTCGATAACCCAGATCTAGGATGTTGGGGAAATCTGGGCAATAAGGATAATTTCGGTAATATGGTGGATATTACAGCTGTTTTCATAAATTCTGGGACAACTGATAAAAATTGATCAGCCGAATTCGATAAGTTCGATAAGTTTTTGAATTCGCCGAAATCAAATTCCCAATAACACCGAATTCAAAAACTTATCGAATTCGGCCGAAATAATTTTTATCAGTTGTCCCAGAATTTATGAAAACAGCTGTAATAATACTAGGGATGTGAAAAGTCCGGTCCGGTCCCGACTCGACTCAAAAGTCGAGTCTTTGTTAAATGCTCGGTCCCAAGCAGACTTGGGACTTTGACTCGTATCTGCACGTGCATCTAGTATTTTTAAAAAATGTGAATGCATGCAAAATATGCATGAATACACATTTTTTACGCTATATCTAAATATACTAAATGCACGTGCGGATGCGAGTCGAAGTCTCAAGTCTGCTTGGGACCGAGCATTTAGCAAAGATTCGACTTTTGAGTTGAGTCGGGACCGGATCAGACTTTTCACATCCCTTATTGAAGATTCCATTTATATAGATGATTCCTGCAAATATAAATAGTTTAATTTACCATTATAAATAAAGGCTCTTTTGGCCCTTGGGAAGAATAACTTCCACCTTTGCTTCACATAATCATACAAGTATCAAAAATAAACATATAAGCAATCTATCCCTAAATAATACATAACCTTTATACATAATAAACTCCTACATTCACTGAGTTGTTACTAACTTAGAGATTCCTGCTTTACCCATAATAATAATACCCGAGTCACCTATTGTATAAACCACACCCGTTCATTAACCCCTTTTTCGACCCAACCTACCTACTCAAGTTTCGTTCAAGCGACAGACTCGCAGATTTTAGTTCTGTCACCGGTGATTACCACCGCCAGTTACGAACAGTTATTCGTAATTATTATGAATATTCGTAATTAGTAATGGGACTTTTTATATTTTAATTTTTAACGATTTAATAATTAAAAGTATAGAAGTATCAATAGAATGATGTAGCCAGCGATTATTTACGCGTTTATGTTGCTAAATATTGATTTTTATGTATTCAATAATTTTTATTTTCTCTCAATATATTTGAATGACTAAAAACTATTATTAATGACATTTGAATACATAAAATTATTCATATTTTATGGTTAATCGCTAACTATATAATTCTATCGATACCTTCTATACTTTAGATAGATTTAATCATTAAATCGTTAAAAATTACTATTAGTTTAATTATCTATTTTTTAAAAAATTCGTAATTATTAATTAAAAGTCCTATTACTATTCGTAATTATTATGAATTTTGTAAATATTCATAACATTCATAAATCTTTAAATATTGATAAAATGGTATTTATAGAGCCGTTTAAATCCAGTATTAACCCAAGTTTTCAGAAAATTCTAATGACTATAGAAAATAATCAATCACACAATGGCAAAAATGAACTTTCGTTGGAGAATGAAAAAATTGAGGAATCAGTTCAAATTCATGAAACTGAAAGTACTTC